GCATGTCTTCTGTTGACATGTTACCATATTTGAAATGGGAAAACCACTCGTAGACCTGTGATTTCCCCAAAGCATCATCATTAAAGGCTTGCCGAAGCATCCCAACAGTCTCGGCTGCAGTTTTCCCTAACAGAAAGAAAAATTTCACGCACACTCTTTGTTCCTTCTGGTCGGCCATCTCACTAATCGCCAAAGGGTTGAAACAGGAACGCACACAACAGAGCACCACAGACAAACCACTTAACTCAGACTGACGCCAGCTCACTAACAGTCGCGAAACACCACCTAGCAGCACAACTCGTAACTACAAAGCATGTGCGTGCAACAGGTCGTTTCCGGTTAGTTTTGGGTCCCCCTTCGTATATGCAATAGAGAAAAATTTGAGAAAATGAACTTCAAATATTCTTTTACATATAGTCTGCTTCTCATAGGAATATAATTTTTCATGCATCAATTCCTTGACAACCTTTCTACAAGTACATTTAACTCTGAGAATTTGTATGTCACTTGTGGAAAGACTGTCCCATGTGGCTGTTAGGGGAACAATTCCACACATGTAGGTTACCGATACAATGAGACAGTCACATTCACATACAACTGCTGATTTGTGAGAGGCTAGCATTTGTACATGCTTCAGTTGCTATGATGTCACTCCATCATTCCATATTTTCCATCTCCCCATTCACAGCGTAGGCCAAGCCACTTTTTTCACAACAATTAGGGGTGCAACTATATAATTTTAGGTAATAATTGATTGATTTAAATTTGATTTTATGTTAATATATTCTCTTTACAGTTACAAATATATACATATAGAAAATTATCAGTAGTATACATGTAACGAAATACATGAAATGTCTTTCAATAAAACTAGGATATTTACAAGATCTGGTTTTATAACAGTAAAATTCTTAAAATAATGCAACTCATTCTGAGTGCTCTGTCAGTTCACAATTCTGTACCAACAAATCCTTTCTTGTGACTCACTAACATCTTCACAGCCTGAATTGTCAGTTATTTCATTAAAAACACACACTGAAGGACACTTTAAATGCAAGTAGTGTGTTCTGAATGTTCTATGATCAGTTCATCAGACAATATGTAACAATGCAGCCAACTTATAACTGAATTTCTTACATAGTAATATTACTATCTGTTGCTGCCATAAACAACAACCAAACCATTAGTAACTTTGCTACAGTACGAACATACTTTAAGTACTAAACTTCAGTCAGGTTCTAGTAGCTGCTCATATATTATACATTAATCCTGAGGTTTATCCTAGGGAAGGAGCAACACCAAACATTATAAATTACTTTATATAACAAACATACGTAAAGTAAACAGTGCTATAACTTTTTCCATTTTCCTGTGTCTTATTTTACACATGAGCTTTAGAGCTAAGGCTGGCTCAAGCATAAATCCTAACCCAGGTGATGAGAAATTCCACTCAATCCCACACCCAAAATATAAAACAGGCCATTTCCTCAAACCCTCACCAAAATTAATTACACAAAATTCCCAGACACTGTGAACAAAACCATCATTGTGTCATAAGCACAAGAGACCACTGTAGATCACGGTGCAAGGGCCAAGAAGGCCTACCCCTCATACATTCATTCATCATTGTGTTATAATTCTTGAAAGTCCCTCCTCCCCCATAATATGTTCAGATTACTGCCAATTAATGATCACAATGCGAACAAATGACTAGTAGAAATTAACTTTCATTAAAAAGAGTTAAAAAATGTGGCACTCCAAGCAGATACTTTGTTCACTTTTGCTGCCATGCTGGACCTGCCCAGAGCAAATTGTTCAATTCAAGTTATAACTTCTCATTATATACTATAGGAGTTTCCTATTAACATTTTCAAATAACAAATGAACAATGTGCTCATTCTTGTAGAGTACCTCTCTATAGTCATGTACATACAAATAACAATGAACAGGATGGCTAATAACCATTTCTTCCAGCTAGCATCTGAAACATTCTTCAGACTGAGTTACATGACCCACACATTGCAGCCTAGTCATCTTATCTAGTGAAACTACATTACAAGCACATTCTGAGAATTTTAAAAAGTATATATACATTGCAGACTAGTCATCTTATCAAGTGAAACAAATTCTGTATTAGAAATATATTTTGAGAATTTTAAACAGTATAATTATAGTAGTAGGCCTACCTGATATTTGAAATAGGTCAAGATGAGTCGAAATACCACCTTTCCTCCTTTTGAAACATTCCAAAACCATGCCAATGTTTTTAGAGTTATCTAAAATGATGTTAATTCTACAGTTCTTTCTTTCTTTTTCATTACAGGCAGAAAGTTGCAACATAATGTAAAAATTACACAAAGTGCAAACAGAATTATGCAGGAGTCCTTCTCTCTGTAAAAAACAGACTAACCACAGATGTCAGAAGTGTTCTAATCTGGGTAAGAGAAGACACCCCCCCCCCTCCTTCACTTCCAATGCCCTGAGCATAGTTAGTTAGTTAGTTAGTTAGTTATTTAGAGAGGGTGGGTTTCCCCATGCACTGTGACCAGTTTGATCTATTGTGCTTCCCTCTATGATATTCTACCAGTCTCTATACCCTACCGATAAATGGTGCGTACCATCAGTCCCGCTGAGCAAGCAAGTTCAGCCACTTGCTTAGCGGTATCTATAATGCTTCCCCCATCTATCAGAGGCCTTAGAGACTACTGTTGGGCGGCAAACGTCCTGGAATTTGGCTCAGTGATCCCCTTTGGGGATATGAGGTTCTTTTACGTGCCGTAAAGTTACGACACGGGACACACAGCTTAAAGTCCCTCCCGGAGGACTTGTTCCCTGAATTTTTCCGCCCTTAAAATTTCGATGACCTCCACCGGGTATTTGAACCCGCGTACCACGAGTCATGAGGTGGGAACGTTACCTCTAGACTACGGAGGCAGCTATGCCCTGAGCATAACTACGTAATTCATTTCCAACAGAGAACAGGGTGTTCAAAAGGGTATGGTTGACAAAACCAACTCCATATTTTCAGAGTGACATCTGATAACATAACCTTTATGACACATAAAACAGATTATTTTATTTCCACATAGTCGTGTGATTTACGAACTGTCATATCACAGTCTTCTCTATTTCAGCATAAGATATCTAGGACATCCTGCTTCTATTCTGTTTCACAATGGTAGAATTATGCTGCCCATTTATTACACTGAAGTACTACCAGACAAGTTAACTAATAATGGCAATCCAGGCATATTATCCCCTTCACTGAGTTGAGCAAAGACCCAATTATCATAGGTCAAAAATCTATTTTTAGGTCCAAAAAGGATGTGTTAATGAAAGTCACTTCAGACAAACTCTGTGTGATATGGTTTTTAGCAATATCTTTATGGCATTATTTCCTACATTATGAACAGCATGATATACACATAATTACATAAGACTGGTTATAAGCAGGCTGCAATATGCATTTCAACAACAATCATTGAGTTTTAAAGGATCAGTTAGTCCTTAGAATTGTCATGATCAGATGTCTCTGTAACAGATTAATTTCTATCAGGAGAATATAAAGACCACTTAGATATAGGTAGGAAACCATTCAGTTCTTTCTTCCATGATGTAATGGAAGAACAGTGATTAATATGTTGCCTTGAATGATGCTGAGAAATTCTGTGATGCTTTGTTTGCTGAAAGTTGACAGAAATAGTGACAGGATGAAGCACCACTGAGCCTGACACTGATGAAGTGTTTCCATTCTGAAGACCATTAACATGAGGCCCAAATTCAATTTCTGCCAAATAAGGAGCTAGAACTTCAGCATCTAATGTTAATGGTATGTAGAATGAGCCTTTTGAATGTAAAGCGAATATAGGAACTCCATACGAAGAATTAGTCAATGATCTAAGGGGCTGTGGAGGAGTGTGGGCAGGATCTGGAGAAGGGGTGGGTGGGGGATACTTTGAAATAGGAGGGGAAGGTGGAGAAGATGGGATGGAACAGGTTTCACTGTCACGACGTTTCAGATTTGTCACCGAAGACAGTGTAAGTGTACCAGTTCCTGGCATTAGTTCATGCACTGCTTCAAATGAGTAGCGCTTCCTTTTAACACCCACACCATTGTTATTCACTGGAAAGCCACTCATAGGCGTTGACACTTCATCATGATATCCATTATTGTTACCTTCAACATGATGCTCTGCTGTAAATCGCTGTTTAATATTATTCTTGAATTTATACAAGGCTGCAGTTGAACCACCTCCATTTATTCCATTCTGCTCTGGACTGAAATTAGTAGTGCCCATTCCAGAGGAATACTGGAGACTTGATACTGGGTGCAGAGGAGAAGGTGACGGTTGCAACAGCTGATGAGAAACCATTACTGAGGTTGTCTGTGGTATTCTGGTTACTACAGTTGTTGTATGGCTTGCTTGGAGTGATGGTATGTTTGAACATGTTAGCATTTCTCTTAATTGGCTTGGTCCATTAAGGTTTACAACACTATCTTCACAGCAACTGTCATCACCAACTTCTGTAAGCAAAATAATTTTCATTAACAGCTGATGACATGAAATTAACACCTGTATGTCAGATTTTCACCATTTTCAGAAATCAACTGTGGAAGTATGTAGCAAAAAGTAGCATATGGTGCAAACTGTTACATTATTTTCTGCATTGTTCTGTCTAACAAACTCCAATGTGGTTTTGGTTATGAAACTGAAATACCACTCCTGATTTAGTCAAAGTATGATGACTGTTCTTAGCATTATAAAAAACATCAACCTTCTAAGATTCCAAACCCCACTTGGCATTCAGATTTTCAAGTGGTAGTTTTAATCTCTAGCTGTATTATTCAAGAAAAAATATGTGTATCCTTTCTTGACTTCTGATTCTCAATAAAATAAAATTCATGTAACAGAGTAACGACCACTTCATGCACTGAAACATATTATAAATTTTCATCAGAATTTTATAGATTTATTTGTGCTACATTAATGTTATTATTTTAAAAATTTGCTGCAAAATGATAAACTTTACAATATGAATACTTATATACAAAAAGAATGTACCTTCCTTTGATGACTAACCAAGCTATAGTCAGAGCTCCACACTATATTCCATATTTGTTCCAAATTACAATTCATATATTGCTGTGTTGGCTGTGGGCCTAAATTTTCATTCACAAAAGGCACATTTTCATTATACCACACTGAACTTGACTGGAGGAGAGGTGTTTGTTTTGTTGCATAGATCACACCACACACATTTAACACTACTGCACTCAGTTACAATTTGGTTTTGGTGTGCCACAGCTCAGAGTATGGCACAACACAAACTACAGTCATGTTTCTTGCAACTACACACTTTCTTCAGTTGCTTTTTCATTTGGCACACATGACAATGATGCTCTTTTCCTTTATACAGCCCATGCAAGAAATGTTCTACTCGCAGTTAGCTCATTTCAGTCACTGACATACAGGGTTGACCCTCTGGCACACCATGCACTTCAACGGTCTCTTCATGGGCTAGAACAACAAGATCCCCAACTAGCTGTTCCATAATTTCACATCTGTAATACTTCTCCAACAAGATCTGTGTGCAGTGTGTGAATTCAGAATGCTGAGGTCTAACAGATGGAAGAAGATTTCTATTTTTTTGGCCACTTCCAAGTTGTTTTGCTTTTGCTACAGATATTCACCAACCTGTCCCTCAGGTCAACATAATTCATATGGGTATCATGGTCTTCAACGACCAGGAGCTACACAATTTTTCCACCTTCCTTGAAGCTACCCTCCAAAGAAGGAATGTGTGCAAACAGGAAAAGATATTTACTATTTGTCTGTTCTACCAACACACAGCCCTTAGGTTTCCTCATATTCTGGATCCAACGTATCCTCTTTCCTCTGCAATTATTCAGCATATTCTTTCCGTTGTGATGAACCGTAACACATGCTGCTTTTGTGTGCGCCAGGTCCTTCTGTTTTCCAAGGTGACCACTCATGTCATATGTGTACCCATATCTGTCACAAAGTCAAATCTGTTTATGTTTTTTGGAATGTACAGAGACACAACTTTCATCATGAATTTCATCATTGCTTAATCCACTGCCATATATACTGTTGGATGGTACAGATCTTAAAATTTTGAATCTAGGGCATCAAATGTTCCTCTGATTTTCCGTAATGTCATAATCATGATCTCTTCTGTCTTGATGATTTCTAATTGTCCGTGAAATGCAAATATTTTAGAATCTTATGCGAAAGCTCATATGGCATTGTACTGGAATAAAAAGGAATATGATGAGAGTTTCATCTTTCATTCAACACAGTTTCATATTAGGCCTGTGGTCATTACCTGCTTTAACTATAGTTAAGAAAAAATGTACATACATCCTTCATTCTCATTTCCCGTGAATCAAAAAAGTCTGATCTGTTTCTTGCTTGGGCATCATGCTGTATATAGCAGTTGCTCTCTCATACAAAAACTGGAATGGCTTTAAAATACAGAAGAAGAAATTGTGAGGTTATGAACTCTCAGAAATACTGGATGTAGCAATTATGTTTGGCCAATTTTGTTCTCCCACAAAGTGAAGCACATTTGCTGTCTCAGAGGGAAATTTATGGATCACTTTAAATCCCTATCTTTTCTTTCAGAAGACGCTGGATCTTCGAGTGGTGTATCACTCACTTCTTCTGAGTCGCATGCTGTTCATCAACATCATCCTGTGCACATGCTAAATCAGATAATAACCATGTGTACTTCGACACTCCTGCTATACTGACTGCAGTTCACAGCTCTACTGAAAGTATAAGTGTGGCAACGAAATCAACATAAAATGGAAACGAATCTGCTACAGCACACTACAATATAATTCTAACCAAAAACTTTACATACTTCCCTTTCCATATTTTTCTTCTGCTACATGTATATTTCCAGGTCTGAACAGCATTCTTAGGCTTCTAGATGCTGGAAAGGGACAGGGAAGAAATGTTTCTTCTGGTTGAGTTCTTAGTACATTTCTGCTAGTGTTCAGGACAGATGCTTATAAGGGAAAATAATATTAAACTGTAGCATCCTGTTGAACTCTGTAGATCTGACTCTGCACTCCACTTTTCTGCCCTTTATGTGCAAATGTCTGTTAGGACAAAAAATGTAGGGCCAATAAGACGACAGAATATTAACCGACGTTGCATTTAGGCAGCAAAAAAGCGGAACACAAAATCAGATCGCAGGAAAATAATTCTGATACATGGGCTATTTATATAATGATGCTGCAAACCCGGGTAAAGTAAAATGGCATGATTCATTTGGGTTAAACAGTTACACATGCAGCTAGAGGGGCTCCTCAATAAAATCAGATGTGACTGTTAATATATCAGAAGTTTTGCTGCTTGACATGATGCTTGGGTGTTGATATTGTGACATGATATCTGAAAACCGGAATAGCAGACCCAGAAAAGTTGTCTGGTGCTAGAAAACGGCAGGCAAACACGTTTACATGGCAACCAAAACACACTCCCACATTAACAATACCAAAGCCATTACTAGGCAAAAGCCCACTTAACACATCTCTCAACATTGGAGGAATACTTGGAAGCAGTATTCTCTGTTCGGTCTGCACTGAGACTGTGTAATGAGAATCGGTCAGAGGAAGCAGTTAGCAGTGTAGTTCGTGGCTGGCTGTGAAAAATCTCCACTGTCAGCAGACTTAACAAAGCAATGCCTAGTGAAGACATTATAAACTGAGAAAACTTAGTAATCACTCTAGTGACTTGTAGTGTGTGTACATTAGTGAGAGTGTTATACTTATTTGTAGTTATGAGTCATGACAGTTCGATAAATCCAAACCCCCTGTCTAGTCACTAACATTAATTGCAATATTACTGTATTATTGTATAGATACTATGTATTCTAACTTGATTTGTTCCATATCCTATGGTGTCTCACCTGTACTGGATTTACGGAAGGTAAATAAATTCAATTCAATTCAATTCAATTCAATATGCTAGTCATTTATCCTTAAAAGTTATTGAAAGAGATTCACAAGAGAAATGCAACAATATTCTAGGGGAAGGAAGCTACAGTTTATTGACATTTTTATTTACATACTATTTTAAACAAGGTAAGATATTCAGGAAGGGAAATTCTTTCTCTCAGTGTTTCAAACGTGAGTACATGGTTGTGAATCCAAATTACTATCAATATAATTTCGTGGTTTCTTTGTAATAAATATTGGGTTACAGGATATCTGGACAATAAACTTGTACAGCTTAATACCTGCTGAAGGAAGAGCAATAACAGCCTGGGCTGGAACAGTAGGAATGTCACTGGCTATTCCGGAATCCTTGTTCTCTGTTCGTCCAGAATCACTACAGGAACCAGAATTAGGGGAACCTGAACTGAGGCCAGACGATCCAGAAGGAATGGTACTACCATGACGATTGCTGTAGCCACCACTCCCACTGCTATTGGATGATGTGCTTGTTGTTTCACCATGATGTGCCCGAGGAAAATTCAACCGGTCACCTATGAACGGGCAATTTAGTAGAATCATATATACACACGTTCTTTTTTATAATGTACTTGCTGTTTCATATTTACATATATGTGGAAAATTTAATAGCATCTACAAAAGAGGAACACAACTGAATCACAAAGTTATATTCCTTATGTTTAATTCTTCCACATGTTGTTGACTCTACAGGCTTCTGCCTGGCAAAGGTAAAGGAAACAATTTCTGACTCATATTCTGTCAGTATTAGCTGGTGAATTTGATTTGTGTAAACAACACAGCAGGCCATGAATAAACACGGAAATACTAAGAATCTCCTTTCGCAAGATAAACAGGCAGCACAGGATCAGCCACCTCCAAGAATAACAATAGGAGAAGTGACACGAACCTGTATGGTTTATAAATTTTAAGCGTTCATTCATTTCCTTTATTTTCCATATATCCATACAGGCAAAAATCCTAGGATGTGGAAATAGTCCATTTGATTATAGATGTATACATGTAATAGATTACATAAGTCACACAACTAAAATAACACACACACACACCAGTTAACTAACATAGGCAATATAANTTGAACACTGTGTACATTGTGCATTTAAGACATTATATGTGTATGTATATAATTTAACACCTATTGTAATAGTAGTTTCCCGAAAAAGTATTGATGCCCTCTGAGGATGATCCGTATGGATCGAAACATGTAAGGGTGATGAGTCTTCAAATGATAAAACTTAAATAGTCACATTAGACGGTGTTATTTTTGTCTTTGTCTTTGTATTAGCCAGTATTCCTAATTCCATCTCCCACCCAACCCCCAAAGGGAATCTACTGAAATGTGTAACACTCAGAAACAGTCGAAGATGGATTAAATACTTTCTTAACAGAGCCACCCACACCTACCAGGTACCTAATAAGTACATAAATCCAAGGACCATTTTAGACATTTACCTTAAAGAAGGTAATTGTGAGATTTACCCAAATGTTGGATTCAGTTACAAAGCAGCATGGCTCAAGCATAAAAATCAATAATATACATTACATATGACTGTAAAGCATAAGACAAAGAATAATGATAGAGACGATAGCCTGAAATTCCCCACATTCAATATATCTACAACTCATGAACTTTAGATCTTCAGATAGGAGATCAATCATTGTCAATTACTTTTTCAGTCACTTGCATTATATATTCTGGGAATTCAGTATAACTCTTTCTACCAGTAATTTCTGTTACCCACATTAATACCTTGTTTCTTTATCTCACTAAGTGTACTACCAAACTTAGAACTTAATTCAATTAATTTAATGTATGCATATATTTACAAAAAAGGGCATTATGTTTTCTAAGCACCATTCACAAAGTGAATTTTTCTTGCTGCTTTATCATTAATACAAAAAATATACACAAGAGAGGCTGCAAAATGTAAGATGAACATCACATTTCCATTTGGCAACCTTGCATTATGGCACTTGGTCTTACAATTCACATTACTGGGTGGTATGGTTGCTATGTTAGTTTTTATGTGTCTCAGAACCTGTTCTATACAAGGACTCTCTGATTCCACTCACAACCAACTGGTTTCTACCAACTGAAACTTCATGGTTATTGTCCACAGATCAACTTGACAAATCTCTGATTATTAAATATATAACTTATTCTTAACTTTGGTTACAATGAGCTTACTGCTTAATTTTGAAAAAGCATTAGATAGTTTAAGACAACATAATAAACGGCCAAGTACTGAAAAATAAAACAAAATCTTAAAAACAGATTATACATTTTTTGTACTAAGAACATATGTGGTAAACTGAACTCATTATGGGGGAGGTCATGTCCATTCACATCTTTCTTCTCTGTAACTTCTAAACATATTCTGAATTAAGATGTATCGGGGTGTACACTAAAAGTTGTCACGTGGATTTTATTATACGTGTATGTTCAGATTAGTGGTAACAGTCATGATTATATGTAACTTCTCTGTTAATACAGTGCAAGTAGATAATCAATCAATAAAATGGCCCTTGTAGGTTTCAAATTGTGAACGTTCACAAGGTAATATGGCTGATCTATACTGATCATGCATTGCACTTTTACAATGACATATGTGCAGCCCAACTGGCTCAGCACTGCAACATTAAAGAGCTAAATGCCTTTCCTCCAAGACAACATACAGAAGCTGGAGCAGTAGAAGATTCATGTCCTTCTATATAGATATGTATTATGCTTTCCTGTTGAGAGTTATTTATAAACATCAACCCTAGGAGGGTCATTGCTAGTCTGAAAAGAACAAGTTTCATTCCATAATCATGCGATTCACTCATACATGGCTTTGTCAGCTGTGACACAGCTGCAACAGGAGGAAGATAAATTAAATGTCATACTAAATAAATACAGCAATACCTCCCATAGTCCTGCTTTGATCAGTCCGGATTCACTATAGTCCGGTTTGAAACTTTAATTTATATACTAATTACACCTTTTTCTTCTTCTTTGTGCAAGTGATCCAACTGCTGGTGACTGAGACTAATAAGTACTACAAGTACAACCACTATTTAGGCATACTTAACAATAACAGATGGTCATGATTTCATCACATGATTGTAAAAGAGACGCAGGCCCTTCTGGCTATAATACTCATATAATAGTTAGTACATGATGTCAGAAATATAATGAATGATTATTAATCCACTCCTGAACAGCTGCACACACAATTTTATGGCAACATTATGAAATGCAACAGAACTGAAATGCCTACATTTCTGCAGTAATATGAATCAACAAGACAAGATTTACAAGAAGTTCTGGTTAGAACTAATCACTCACTTTCCTTTGTTAAAAAACACATCACACAGAAAACAACTTGTCCAACAATTCTTCTATTGGTGCGTGTGTATTCATTGCTGCAGTAATGTTTCTACTGAGTCACTGCCTAGCAATAATAGGGGGATATATATATAGACACACAGACTGACGGGATGGATTTATGAAGTATGAAGTTCAGATGGGCTCAGGTGCCATGATATACTTACCAAGTTCCAAAAAGATTGGTTCAGGCATTCAAATGTTAATAGGGGGAGGATTCAGAGATACATTGACTGCATGGTGATCTCATAAGCCTACTTCACTTTTACAAAGAAAGGAAAATAGGCTAATAAGAACTACTGACAGACTTAAAAAGAACTAAGCTCTATCTGAAGTCCACAGTGAGGCCTATGTTAAATTTTGAAGTTCATCTTTAACCTCTGGCCATGGATGAAGTCACTGTGCTCTTCAAAGCGGATGTTATTTTCAAGTAATACGTTCCGATGAAATGTAAGGACTTCAGCATAAAGATTTAAGAGTCATGCTACAGCCCTAACTTTCTTATGTAATGAATGCACATTTGAGAAATGCAACTACTATCCTAGTGAAAATCTAACTAGGAGAGCAGATTGGGAGGCCACAAAACTACAATTTCTTTCCTCTTATAACCTACAAGCAAGAGCTAGAAAATGGTGTGGAACTGGCAGAGAAAATGGTAACAGGATACTAGGGTCTTTGACAATAAAACACTAAAACTGAAACAGAATGACATATGTGCTAGGATGAGAGGTAAATGATAACAATGCTCTGGAAAGACAAGCAATATATTTTGTGACATGTTGACCCCTACCTCCCCAGCGGTACGTGGCGGTAACGTAACGCTCGCGTTCTTACGGTAATAGGCGAGTTCCCGCCCCGCCACTCCCCTCCGCGGTGACGTCACCGAGGGATATCGCGGTCGCTAGGCAACGCGAGTCAACAGCGGCGACGTTACGATAGTAACAGCGGTTACCTCCGCTAGCGTTACATAGCAACACAGCGCCAGGCAAAGAGGGTGCCTATTACGCGGCCGTTTTCCGTATGGTCCGATCGAGGCTACATGAGGCGCAGCGAAGGCTATTCAAAGTCAGTTCTAATGTGGCTACCAGCGAGTTGTACTGTAACAGTCGCCGAGTCAAGACGTAAAGTCAGCCAGTCAGTTGTATTCTGGTATTTGGAGTGTACTAATTGTGATACTGCAGATAGCAGTAATCGTAAATCTGTAATTTGGGTGATTGTGAGAGCGGATGTGAAATAAAATTCGCTACATCGAATACATCGAGAATTTATTTGTCGCGATATACGCCCGATACGCGACAATATGTTGACAAATAAGACAATCAGCCCATGGGCTATATCAACAAAGGGGACAAAATGACTAATAATTATTCAATTAATCTGAGAGCGTGGAAATGAACATAAAATAATATTTCCATCAATTAGATCTAACTGTATTTAACCCTTACAACATTTTATCATCCTGTGGTAGCACAGGTGACAGTCAAAATGTCATCAGACTTTGTAGGGACCCATGCTTTTTTTATATTTCCATTGAAAGGTATTCTTAACCACCGCTCAGTCATGCTATGGGAAGGAAAACATTTAGATAAATGTAATTGCTGTAGATTTAGTTTACACATAACACTTTTTTAAATTTTAGGTTCTCACTACATTGTGTCCCATCCAAGAAAATTAAGTCATAACATGGCACTTTGTTTTATTTCAGTATTCTTCAGTCTCTTTCTGAAAGAACAACTTCTGTACTAGTAAGAGACATCATTACAGAATTCAGAAGTGTATTTCCTTTCAAATACAGAGTGTACAGTTTATTGTTAGACTGGTTCCTGCAGCTGACATGGAATTCTTCTTGCACAGACTCTGTCAAAGCCAATAATTTTAGCTTATATTTCTGCTGTAGCTTAACTTGCCTTATTTTATACAAGATCCTCAAAGTGACAACCCTGCACTTCTAAGCATGCTTCATATAGTGGTAATATTTCTTAGAGACACACTGAAGCTGCTGTATAGGAAAAGCAGAAATTTCATGCATAACATTTCCTTGAAGTTCCTCCAGAGAGCACAGGTAGTTTACACAAACAATTTCCTTGTGGGGCCACAATCCTCGACCTACAACTTAACTGCCAAAGATATTGTGCCTAATGCAGCCATAGAATTGTGTATTATATGTGCCACTGCATAGGCTTCCATTAAATGCCTGTATGACTGTACAATTTTCCATCATCAATTAATCAAAGGATGACAGAATCAATTTAACGTAAAGGTCAGAATTCATATTTTTTTTAACAAAAGTACATAGCACTATTTATCCTCTGCACACTAACCGCATGCCAAACCTAAACTTTTAAAACATTTGTAACACTTCATGAACAGCACGAGGATCTTCTGTGTCCCAATGTCCATCATTTTTGCTGTCTACCTAAGCACTTAAACTGAACAACATCCCATCAAACTAAATTGTAAGTTCTGGATCAAGAAGTTCACTGAATACCAACATCTGAAACCACCTACAGCACTGAAAAATATGGGGACAAAAGACTATACATTGCTGTAGTTTTTCAAGGCCAAAATATCAGCAACTTTGTACCAATGTGAGCTGTACGTTTTGCAAACCCACAATGAAGAGCCAAAAGACATAATGGCATCTTCAGACTTACTTCTAATAAAGTACCAACACCATCCAGTTTTTCTTCAGTCAGCATCTGTTTCTTTTTGTTTTCCTTCTTGTCCCTCAACAATCCTGTAGTAATTTCATTATGATATAGTGAATCACTGCTTTACACATGGCACTGTGTTGTCAGAATACTTCCTATGAAACTTCCTATTACACATACATTTCCTCCATGGAAAACTTCATACAGAGGTGTGATATTTGTCAATACTCCAATAGACAACCACTTCGGAAAGTTTGTGGACCCTGAAAATGGCCGTTCGTTCCACTGCGGTAGATAGTTTTATGGCCGTTTGGCAGGTCTGTCTGGCCGGTGAAGTAGGGCTGTGTGCACCGGTAGAAATAGATGTTGGCTATGGTGTGTTGGCTAATGTTGTGGCAGCTGAGTTAGTTGTCTGGTCGCAGTGTGGCAGTTGCCAGAAGTTGCCTGGTCACTGAGCGTGGTTGCTGGAAGACATCTGGTCGCGGAGCGCGGTTGCTGGAGTGGCGGCAGCTGCACCAGTTGCCCGGTGTGTTGGGCATGACCGCTGGAGAGCCGAGGCAGCCGTCCCTGACACAGTGAAGAGTCGATGACTCCAAAGACCGATCGCTCTGGACTAAATGTGATGGCTGACTGGCTGATGTGGTCACCGATGATTGCAAGCTTTGGGCTCTGCCTTTTATACCATGCTTGATGGAGGATGCTGATTGCCTAGCGTACGTTATGAATTAATGTGAGCTATCGAGCACTGTTTAAATACGAGTGCAGCCAGCGATGTGATTGGTTAGAGCACGTGATGATCTGCAAGTTGGTGCTGTATAAATATGAGAGCTGACAGCAATGCGCTATTGACTTAGGAGTGAGTGTTGTCCGTTGATGGGCGAAACAGCATGATAGTATGTGGGATGTTCCCACAGAGGTTCTGCATATAAGTAATTTACGTTCAACACTATATTTCAGAACAATGCAAACTGTACTTGTTTGTGTCTCAAGGACAACTAATCATGCTATAACATGCAGCACTACTGAGATAAGCAAGCAAGCAAGCAAGCACTGGGTGTCTACGTGATGGTTCAGTGGCCAGCAGTGGACAGTCAAAGACAAACAAATTTTGAGCCACCTGGTATAAGGATAAGCCAGATTTCGTGTACATTTCATTAGAGTATTTATCAGAAATATTTCCAAAGATACACATATCTTTTCAGTACTAATAGCATTACCATTCAAAACACAAAATTTAGAATTTGGCTGCCAGCTCCCATGACTTAAGTCCCAAAAAATCCATGACCTATAAGTTAAAAAATATCAATGTATCTTGTTAAACATTTCTCCAAATTAGTCGCTGATGGATGGAAATTATTTTCTTGTGCTTGAAAATCAGGACTAGGATTCGTTCTTCAGCTCACCTCTGAGGATCTTGTCACAATGTTTCTGAAGATGGTTGATAAGTTGAACACAGAGTGGGTCACCAGCAAAGAAGCCCTCAACTTCAACGAGAAAATGCATTGCCTCTGATAGACACTCTTGATACCCAAGTCGATAATGCTCAATTATTATGGGCCCTCCAGTTGGATGCTGTTCATTTCCATCTTCGCAGTTCTGTTGCTGTGCTAGTTCACATGTGTCTGCAAGATGCAATAATACCAATATACCAAAAAGAAAACAGGCTGATACTGCATGATGATATGAATTTTGAGTCTTTCTTGGTCAGTAAGCTTGCTGTTATCTGGTATTAAAAAAAGGACCATGTTTATAAAGTTATTCAAAAACAAATCTGTGGTGCACACATATTCATCTCCCATACAGTAGTTCTCCTAGCCACCACTAGCAGTATTACCTGCCATCCTCCCTCACTCAGATGCCATTAGAGTATAGGCTGGTTGAATCTGTAACTGCTTTACTGTATATGCATTAGAAATCCTTCAACTATCAACCTCTGTCATGTAACAAGACTCACACAAAAATTCTATAGCACAAATGTGTTGTTTTGTCTATGTATAGTGTGCCTGGGTTTCTGTAACAGTATGTCTCACGTAACCAGCAAATCTCATTCCCCACAGATGCCGCACGAGGCGTTTACTGCAATTATGTGCTTCACATCATTAAACTATATTCCTTTGAAGAGTATACAGGAAATGTCAACAAAATATAGATCCTCACTAATTAATATCAAATATTCTAAAACAAAAATTGCATCTTTTTTTCCAGATTATTCATTCCTGAAAATGCGATGATTTCTAGACAACCAAGTCATCATCTGTGAAGTTTATGTATGTATTATGGGTAGGCATGACTAGAAAAAATCTGCCTAAGTTCATACTAGTTCAAAAGCTCATTGTTATGAATATATACAGTTTTCTTTTTTCTAGAGCTATGCAATGGTGTACCATCTGAATGTCTTTTCTATCAAAAGGAACTTAAAATTATAAAAACTGAAATGTGTGACTACAAGCGTGATGGAATATCAGAGTTTTACATAAAGATAAGCAATTTATTAGTACTATTTTTGTGAAAAACACAAAACACGGTCTTCCTTCCACTATTAATCACATCTAGTGATCCTGCTTGTAATCTAGAAAAGAAGAATATAAGACTGATTAACTCTCAATACCAAAACTACTTTCTTCAAATGACCTTTTGATGTGTCACATCTGTTGCAGTCTAAAAACAGAAATGCTATGTTAATTCATTAACAGTGAGTCAATCTCTTTAGCTGCGGTTCCTTTAAGCTCCAAGCCAATCTAATCAGTACAAGACACACAAAGGGTTACAAATTATAGTCACATACTGCAGTCTGTTTAAATTTACATCATAAGATGTGGCCTTTTTGGTAATGACACTGTGTAATCTAGCAGAATGTTACCAGTGTTTTGGGGGAACATACTGCCTTCGTTTTTCAAGCACATGCCAGAAGACCACGTTCTTAACATTCACCACCATGAGAACTTCAGATCTCATAAAATCTGTTTCTTCCATGGTAGTTTGTGAGATTCAACCTTTCTTGTCCTAGAATTGTACCACATGTACGGTAAAGATCTTCTGCTTCCAAGCTCAAAGATCAACACTTACTTAACTTTATGGATATTATCACAGTATATCAGTTTAAAAATCTGAACCATACAAACACGTTCAGTGTCTATAATTTTAAGCTATATTTTGGCAATGAAGAAACATCTTAATTTTAGAAGCTGGTAAATCTGCTTACATCATGAAGCATCATCACGCAGTTTACATACTTGTATACTTACCTATCTGATGGCAAGCATGAGCTTGAAGATGTTTCATGTGTTTAATTGCCATCTCAATTATCTCTGTCTTTTCTACTCTCCCACGTCCTTTCTTGAGGTAGTCTGCAGGGATAAGACGAGACAAGTCAGCCAAACAGTTATTCATGCGGTCCCGTCGACGCTTTTCAATGATACGGTGTGACATTGGATCCTAAAAAATAACAGGAAACACTTTTCAGGAAACGTGGTGATCTAATGCAATTTTCTGTATATCTCTCTTACATATTTTGCAGTGCAGTATCATCAGTTATAAAACAGTAATGTCACAGTAAGTTTTCACCATTTCTCACTGTGCACTGGCAAGCCATACTAAAACAATTCATTAGCAAATTCATAACAAATACAGAAGGTCAGTGAATAACGCAATATATTGAGTTCATAAAAAAATCTAACCAATACTTAGAATTCAAACTGAACTTGCCAACAACTGCTGAAACTGTCAAGATTTTTCTGTTTAAGTTTATTTTGAGAAAAGAAGATTTGGCGGTGAATAAATCAACATTCATGCCAAATGCTCCCTTCACTTATTAATTAAAATATAAAAAAGGGATGTAACACCCCACAGTCCAGTAGAATCAATCAAAGTTTTAGAAGAATGTACTGTGTCCACCTTCAGGGTCAAAAAAAAAATGCCAAGCACATCCATCTGAAATGCTGATGGACTTCTACATGCTTCTACTATGCTACACGGTGCTACATTCCAGAAGAAAGTACTTTTCAGTCACTGCTATGAGAATCTCAGATCCATAATAATAAAAACCAACCTCCAACTAAAATCACTGGTGCAGTTTTGGGAAATGTTATAAATATACTGACTGGCTGCAGCTGATATTTTACGCTGTTTGCTTCAAATATTTGTACATAATAAATGTCAGTAAACTATATTCCAAGAACACATGTAATATTCAAATTACACTAATATCCAAACTAAAATTATTTCTTCTTATTGACTTCAGGCTAGATAAAGATTTATCATCTGGAAACAGTGCATTTATAATGTCTGGTATTACCAGTCACAACCGACCACAATGACTTCCCCCAAGACCAAGAAACACTTCCCTTGAAACAGATATAAAATATAAGTCACGGCAATTACTTTAACACATATTCAACAAATTATGGTGAGGGAAAACTTATGACACATTCTTTGCTTTAGATGCTTCATCTGTGTAGAATAGACAGCAGAAATTGAAAAAGAATTATTATGTATTTTGGTGAAAAACATATGTCTGTGCAGAACTTCCACTACTACAGATTCTCACATGGAATGTTCTAGAAATAATTCCAAAGCTTAATGCCTAATACTAAGAGGTCGCTGGTGTGATATCATCATTCTGAATGTTCATGCTCCAACAGAAGATAAAATTGATGATATAAAGGACAGGTTCTATGAAGAACTAGAACATCTATTTGATAAATTCCCAAAGTACCATATGAAAATTGTTATGAGATTTCAATGCCAAAATGGGTGGGGAAAACATTTCCAAACCAACAACTGCGAATGAGAGTTTAAACGAAATTAGTAATGGTAACAGAGTTAGAGTAGTAAACTTTGCCACATCTACAAATATTACTGTTAGAAGTACGATTTTCCAACATCATAACATTCATAAATTTACTTGTACATCTCCTCATGGGAAGATGCACAATCAAATTGACCATATTTTGATAGATAGGTGATGGGATTCAAGCCTACCTGATGTCTGATCATTCAGGGCAGCAGATTGTGATACTGACCACTACCTGGTAGTGGCAAAGGTGGCAGTGAGTAAAAGAACAATGCACAAGGTTCATATGGAGAGGTTCAATCTCAAGAAATTAAATGGGGTAGAGGGTAAAGAGTAGTATCATGTTGAAATCTCAAGTAGGTTGGCGGCTTTGGAAAACTTGGACACTGAGGTGGATGTTAATAAAACTTGGGAAACTATTAGAGAGAATATAAAAATGTCTGCCAAAGAGAGTCTAGGTTATTATTAACCAAAGAAGCATAAGCCATGGTTCCATGAAGGATGCTCAAAATTATTAGATCAAAGAAAGCAGGCCAAATTGCAATGGTTACAGGATCCAAGCGAGTTAAATGGGGATAATCTGAATAATATAAGATGTGAAACCAGCAGGCATTTCAGGAACAAAAAGAGGGAATATCTGAAGGACAAAATTGATGAGCTTGCAATGAACAGTAAGAACAAGAATATTAGAGACCTGTATAGAGGAATAAATGACTTTATGAGGGGTTACCAGCCTAGCAGTAACTTAGTGAAGGATGAGAATGGTGATCTGCTTGCAGATTCCCACAACATTTTGAATAGGTGGAGGAACTACTTCTCTGTTATTGAATGTACATAGGGTCAGTGATGTTAGGCAGACAGAAATCAATACAGCTGAGCCGTTAATACCTGATCCTAGCCCTTCTGAGGTTGAAAGTGCTATTGAAAAATTGAAACGGTATACATCGCCAGGTAGTGATCAAACTCCGACAGAACTTATTCAAGAAGGAGGTGAAATATTACGTTCTAAGATCCACAATCTAATTATGTCTATTTGGCATAAGGAAAAATTGCCTGATCAGTGGAAGGAGACTATTATTATGTCAGTTCACAAGAAGGGTGACAAAACTGGCTGTTATAATTATTGGGGGATATCACTGCTATCAATTTAATATAAAATTTTATCCAATATTCTTCTCTCAAGGTTAAGTCCATACATAGACGAAATTACTGGGGATCATCAGTGTAGATTTTGATGTAACAGATCAACTAGTGATCAGATCCCTTGCATTTGTCAGCTATTGGAGAAAATATGGGAGTAGAATGACACAGTGCATCTATTCATAGTCTTCAAGAAAATCAATGATTTAGTTAGGAGGGAAGTATTGTACAATATTCTATTAGAGTTTGGGGTACCATGAAACTAGTTAGGTTGATTAAAATGTGTTTAAACGAAACGTATAGCAAAGTCCGTATAGGTAAACATCTGTCTGATAATATTCTTATCCAGAATGGTCTAAAATGAGATGATTTATCGCCACTCCTCTTCAACTTTGATTTAGAATGTGCCATTAGGAATGTCCAGGAAAATCAGGCGGGACTGTAATCAAATGGGACACATCAGCTGCTGGTCTATGCTGATGATGTGAATCTACTTGGTGATAGTACAGATACCATAAAGAAAAAACAGAC